ATAAATAAATAAAAAATTATGTAATATTATGTAATATTAACTTTTCCTTTCCACATCTTAATGAGTTTCTCGTCTTTGTTGATCAGAGTTGATAATTTTTCCTTGGATAGTGCCATGAATATTCAGCTTATTAGAAGGAAAACATTTCTCCTTGACTGTATGTTATTGATATGTGAGCTCTGGATTCTCCCCTCTTTTTTGACCTACACAGTGCATTGACATTGGCTGTTTTGTGGAAAACTATGTGCTTTAATATATAAGTGCTACAGAGATATTTTTCAGAAGCACAAAGCTCTATGCACCTTGTACAGGGACTTGGAACAAAAATAAAACAGTATATGAAGAACCTGATGCCCACATTTTGTCATTTTAAGTTGACTGTAGCCTTGCGTTGTGCATTTAAACTGGTACTTAAGGAGGGCATGTGAAAGGACAAGATCTGATTCTCTGAGATACTTTGCAGGAATGTGTTAAAACTGAATTTGCTGTCAGCAGCCTTCCCTTTCCCTCTCCCTCTGCCTCATAGGTAATATTTATATGTAGTTTTAAAGAAAAATGTTCCAATTAGAACTTCCACCATATGACATTTGAACTGGGTCATAAATAAGCAATGTGTTCCCAAGATGCTGTGAAAAGAAAATTGCTGTGACTATTTGTAAAAAAAAAGACTAGGACTGAAATTAGAGTTTCTAATCACCTTCACTGCCAGCAATAACCTCAGAATGACTGGAGGCTTGCGCTACCCTGGTATTGATAATCACAAAATAAAAAGGGATAATACAGCAGGTACACTACAACCCAAATACCCCTTTAACACTCCCACTCCGTTCATTCGGGTTTCTCCTCTGAAATGAATAGATTTAACCTTTATAAAAGGCACCATTGAACTTTCTTTTCTACCACTGGGATTATTCAGATGATGGAAGGAGATGGAAATGTATGTTCCAATCCAGAGCTCGAACTCAGATGTCATTCTAAGTTTACAACAGTGTCAAATATTATTGTGAAAAGACTAGACAAAGTTGTAATAGTGATAAGAATCAGCAGTGAAAAATAAAGTATTTGCTTCTAAAGTGTTTTTGGCTTTCTGCCGTGTTCACCTGAATCAGTAGAAAGTCTGCAAGCAAGGAGTTGTACTTAAAAGGTTACGTTGACTTCATATTTTCTTCCTGCAGGTCTTCACTGGGATTTTTACAGCAGAAATGATCTTCAAAGTAATTGCCCTTGACCCCTACTACTATTTTCAGCAGGGCTGGAATATTTTTGACAGCATAATTGTTATACTAAGCCTGATGGAACTGGGTTTGTCCAGCATGGGAAACCTGTCTGTTTTACGCTCCTTTCGACTGGTAATGGGCTTATTCTGTTCTTACCCCTCTTCTTTTATTACATATAAACTCTGACATGAATGCAACATATTGTCTTAAAAACGCATCTGCCAATAAAGACTGTAATTGCTGCAAACTGGTGAACAGTACATGACACTAATTATAGGCTGCAGGATAAATGGAATTGTTCCAGATTTACATCAGGGTAAATGGGAACATAATTTGATTCCTTCTAGCTGTGCGAGGTACTTGTAGCACACTTAAAATATTTGAGTTCCAATTTGTAATAAAAATCCGCCATTTTATACCTGTACACCTGTTAGCATAGTCAGCAGATAATTGATAGCCCAAGAGATGCAAGAGCCAGTAACTTGTCGTTTTAGAAGTTGTTATTCCTAAATTATGTTATAAACATGCCACCGTTCTTTTAAATGTTGTCAAAAGAAAATGTCTTTGAATTATTCACGGAGTGATTTTTTTTTCCTAGAACTGATCAGCATAACATAACATCTGTCTTTCACGGGAACTCCTTAGCTGTCAGCTCCTTTGTTATGCACGGGATAGTGGTATTCTATCAATGAGAGACTGTCGACATATTGGAACAGAAAAGTAGTTTCCTTGCCAGCCTGACATTTGTGTTGCACTTCATGTACCAGGATGTCCATGCTAATCATTCTGGCCATGATATGGCTTCACAGCTTGGAAAGACCAGGAAAATAAGCCCTTATGGTTACATTTAGCAAAAGACTTTTTTTTTTTTTTTTTTCCAAAATTCTCTGCGCTGCTCAAAAATGCAAATTTTTCACCGCTGCTGCTAGGTCCTGAGAGTCCCCTGTCATTTTCTGAGAAATCCCTCTTCAATAGGGCTGAAATTAAACCTTCACTTGAAAACACAGCACAAGGGTTAGGAACCATTTACATTCTTAAAATAGGTCTTAAGTGGAACGTGGGTTGTGCATAGACTGCGTGATCCTCAGCACAGAGGTGATTTTCACCCTGGGAGCTAACAGCTAATAGCATCTGGCTGAGGCTTGCTCTGAAACACAGAGGAATTGCTTCTCCCTTTGTGGGATTAAACCCTAAACCCCTTCCCCCAGATGCCTGCCCAGGCTGTTTAATTTGAGGAGAAATTTTTGAGGAGAAAAAGCAATGTAAAAGAGAATATTAAGACCTGAGAATTCCTCCTTCCATCCTCTCCTCACCATGATATCGGGGGAAGGAGCCTCTAAAAGCACGTCTATCTAACAAGGCAGAGCATTGCTCTGGAAAACTTAATTCTTATCCAAGAAGCCCAACTGATATTTTATTAATAGATGTAGTTAGGTTAGCAGGAAGTATGGCTAAAATCACCTTGTACCGCGCACTCTGTGGCATTTAATGTCTTTCAGGTTTTACTCACTTTAATAATTCATCGGCTGAAATGTCTGTTGCTTCTGTGAACTGACACTGTTGTTTATGGTTTTTTTCACAGCTGCGAGTCTTCAAATTGGCAAAATCCTGGCCGACCTTAAATACACTCATTAAAATCATTGGTAATTCAGTGGGTGCCCTCGGTAACCTCACTCTTGTGCTGGCAATCATCGTCTTTATTTTTGCCGTGGTAGGAATGCAGCTTTTTGGGAAAAGCTACCTGGACAATGTGAAGAAGATAAGCACAACTGGCAATTTGCCACGGTGGCACATGAACGATTTCTTCCACTCATTCCTCATCATCTTCCGAATTTTATGTGGGGAGTGGATCGAGACCATGTGGGACTGCATGGAAGTAGCTGGGCAGCCGCTGTGCCTTCTCGTCTTCTTGTTGGTCATGGTGATAGGAAATCTAGTGGTGAGTTCTCAAGATGTTTGGTTTTTTCCTCCCTTTCATGGTGTGTGTGTGTGCGCGCGCGCGCAAATGCACCATTTTTTAACCCAGAAATGGCAAATCTCACATTGTTCCATGGCTTTAATTCAATGAACCAAGTTGTTACCCAAAGAAATTTCTTCACATCCCAAATACAAAATTGCTAGCATTACATTACTACTTAGGAATGAAGGCTTACTGATTTTTTGCAGAACAGATAATGTTTTACTAGAAGAAAGTCACATGGGCTGCTTATAATTATTGTATTTCTTAAGCCATTCATGGGGCTGAAGGGATTCCAGTGCTCTTCTATACAGGAGTGAATATCACCTCAATGGTCACTGCATTGGGAGATATTTTTATTTCTCTTCACTTTTGATCCAGAACATGTGAACCTTACAGCTAGCACAGTGTCTTTGAGTGGAGTTTCGAATGTCTTTAGCCTGCATGTTCTAGGAAGCTGCAGGTTGTGTTTACAGTAATGTCACTTGCTCGCTTGCTTTTTTAGTAGACTATCCCATAAGCATGGCTTACATAAGCTCTGAACCTATTAAGAGTGAGTTGTATTTCCCTGTTGACATCTTATGGAGCGTTTTGCTGGCTTGCAGTCATTGTGGAAATGTTTCGCCTGCTCAGCTTAGAGAGCATCTTTGACATTGTGGCTGTAATGGGCTTACTGTTTATGTAGTGAGTTGTTTAATAGTAGATGCTGCTATAAAACAATGTTGGGTTTTGCTACCGATTGCTTTTAGCGGTTGTTTTGCTTTTAAGTACTCAATGTTTTGGTTCTCAGCTACTGGGATAGAAAAGTTCTTGAAAGACCTTTTAGACAAACAAAAAGTATTATTTTGTTTAAATTAATTTATATTTTAACAGTTAGTTTTGCAGTGAAAATGTTGATTGCAAGAGCAAATTATATTTTATAGGGTGGTTTTATAAAAGTCAAAAGATTAAACTATGATTACTCAGAAAGTGGCAGATGTTTTTTTCCCTAACTTCTCATTTCTATAGATTTTTCTTGGAACTAAATGTGATTAGAGGAGTTGGGGCAAACTATTACTTTCTGCATATCTTTTTAGGGAGTTTAGCCTGAGATCCAGAAAGTTGATCTCTCCCTACCATTAAGCAATGGATTCTGTGTATGATGATGAAACCTGAAAATAATATGTGATAAATTCTAGGGAAAATGTTAACATTTGAAATATTCATGGATTATTAAAAGATGTGAATTTGCAACATCTGATACCCTTGCATATTAACACTCATCAGTGTGCATAAGTTCTGTTAAGTATAAAATCTGATTCAGCAGAGATTGCACTAACATTATCTACATATATTTAACCTTCAGTGCTCAGAAAAGACTGTCCCAGATGTAAAACCAGATATTGAAAGACTCTGTGAGCATGGATAAGCTGAAGTTACTGGTCAGCTGAAAGTAAAAATGCTAGCTTTATCCTTTTCAGCCAACAGTTCTGTAAGCATGCGGCAATGACTGGTAAATAGGAATGATTATTGTCTGTAGATCACTCAAAAAAAAAAAAAAGAAAATGATTCATAGGTGTGAAAAGAAAAACAGATTCTGAATCATGAGACTCATTTAGTGTCAACTGCGGCACACGGAGATTTCATGACATTGATTAGCTGGTAGAGGAAAGGTCGTCTTATTCCTCTGGCATCAGCAAAATTCTTGCTTTCTTCAGTGAGAGTGGATTGAATTCACAAACTCACTTATTTAGTGAACATCATCAGACCCAGAAATTCTGGTAGCCAAAAAGCACCATGAGCCCTTTAAAATAAGAAGATTCGAGCATTAAATCTTTTACCTGTAACTCCGTTGCGATCTATGCCAGCAAAGTTTCTCTTTTAACTTGCTGAGATCCTTCTTCCTCCTCTGAGTTTCCAGAGGCAGTTCTGATAAGAAAAATATTATCCTGAGGAGGTATCATCTCATTTGGACTCTGAACGCTTTCTTAGTCTCTGAAGGCATGGAGGAAATCCTACCGTGGTTTTCCGTATGTAGCAGGTCTGCGCAATCGTCTAGATTAAACACTTTACTCTGCCACATCTGCCAGCACTTATGGTCATGTCTGTGGTCACTTTCCCAACTGCAAGGCTAAGCGTTATAGAGCAGACCTGGTCTTTAACTACTGTAAAGTAACGGCTGCAAACTGGTGTTGGAAGAGTTACAACCGCTGTGATTCTGTGGTATGTTCAGTGATTCGGTTTGCAGGTCTTACCCAGCCTCACTAACATAAATTCAAAGGAATGGTGGAAGAAAAGCCAGGAAAGTTAAATGCCCTGGGCAACTTCATGTTATAGAACAGTCCAGCTGTTGAAAGGAAATTTAGTAAATCTTAAATCTATGGTTTGTATTCATACATCCTGAAAATGTCTTGGACCGGTGCAGTGCCACGTGAAACTGTGTATTGCTGGTCAGCTGATATTTGAGTCATCTTCAAAGAACTAAACTTTACAACATAGTTGGAAAATTACGTGCTGTGTAGCTGCCTTTTGCACAATAAGTCACTATTGTCAGAAGGCATTTTTAGAGTCACTGAAGCTGCTTTCGAAGGTAAAGCCAAGCCAGTTAGGTAATAAAGTTTCTCCCTCGTTTGTAAGAAAGAGCTTCTGAAATTGCTAACTGAATAATTATTCTTACTGTTAAGTTTTATAAAGGGCTTAACATATTTCCTACGTAGGTTTATGTTACTGAGGTTAATAAGGAAAATCACTGAGACAGGAATTATTAAGAAGATGTAGGGGAATTTGGGTAGCGAGGCAGTCCCTGCTGCCCCCTGCTCTGCTGGGTCAGCCGATGATGCGACACCAGCCACTTCTCAGAGGACAATTGCGTGTAATGGGCGCTAACAACGTGCATGAATAAAATTGACACTTCCATCACAGACGGAACAACCTTCCAACCTCATTCTGTGTGCATGACGTACGCTGGCCAAGCCACCCTTTTATTCTTCTGGTGGCCACGCGGACAAAGCCTGATTTCTAGCAGCTTCTCCTGAAATGCCCGAGGTGCAGGGCAACTTGAGGCAGGGCAGCAATGAACTCACTGTCTTTGCTCATGTTCCGATTCGGCTGTGTATGACATAGACAGCACCCAAAAAGCACCAGTTAGTGTTAACCCAAGCGAACAGCCACAGTGCGTTAACTCACCCTCAGGGCTCAGTTTCTGGACTGCTGTTGTCTCACCTCTGCCTGATTTATGTACATCCTCTAGTACTTCCATGACACATCCACCACCGTTCCCCAACCACCACAAGCTGGTAATTCACTGCTGCATTTCCATGGTGGATTCTGTCTTCCTGGAGTCACAAGCATGTGTAGTCTGTAATCAAGCAAGTGACATCCTCAGAATTTTACTGCAAGGAGAAATATAAGCCTGTAAACGCTCTGTAAGGATCAATACTGGGTACTTTTTTTTTTTTTTTCCCCGCTCCCTTACTCTCCATGGAAATACTATTCACTCAGAAAAATATTAATGACATTTTCTGAGAACACGGAGGTAGAAAGCACCACCAATATCTAGGGTATCAGGCTATCCTGTAGGAAGAATTGCATAACCATTATGATTGAACTAATGTGTGATGCGTGGAATTATGAAATACAAAGTGTAAGGTCATGCACTCAGCCCTATTTAAGAATTTATGTTATGACCAAGTAGCTTACCAACACAAAATATTTGAGAGGATAATAAAAGTATACATATCAGTCACTGTGGACATCTACATCTGAGATAATTGCATGGAGATGCCTTTGTAGTCAGGTCTAGTTAATGGAGTCTGTGAAGTCATAAAATTTCTTACCCAAAAAGACATCTAAAATGCATCAGATTAAATAGACCCTAAAAGTACCTATTTCTGTCTCTGAAGTCTTGGGAGGCAAACCAAGACATCCCTGTGTACATATCACTAGCTGACTGAGCCAGTACGACATACCAATGTACCAATATATTGTACCCATTAAAAAACTAAATGAGATTCTAATACACATCAGGAAAGGTAATTGCAGAGGAGAAAGGAGAGTATGAATGCTGTTGCACAGCAATCTGCAATGCTGGATATGCAATACACCCCGTTAATGGCTGATGCTCAAGAGAGATTAAGTACCGCTGGAAAAAGCACAGTATGGGAATATGAAGTCGATGAGGGGAATGCAGAGCTAGGCATGGGAGGAGAACAGTTTAAGTGACAGAATACTTCTCATCCCAAACTAGCATGTGAGATGGACCTTGATTAGTTTGTGAAGGGTAAAACCCATGATAGCAGGGGGGTTGACCTGGTGACCCAAGACGACCTTCCAGTCCTGTCTTCCTATGGTGATTTGAGTGCCTGGCAGCAGAGCTGCTCAGCATGGTTTGGATGAGATTTGAAGTGGCCTGCTTTGGTTAATCTCAGTGGAAACTTTCCTCTGAAAAAGCCAGATATGCCTGGAACCCATCCTTTTAGTCTGCTTCCATGTCTCAGGAAGCCTTAATGGCTGTTTTTTCTGTTTTAGCATGGTCCGTGACTGTGACATACAGAAACCTGGAAATGTCACATTCTTGGAAAAAAGAAGTTTCTCCTTCCCTACATGCCTTTTGTACAAGTCAGTGTAGCACAGTTCCTTGAAGAGATGTTCTGGGAAAGTGCTGCTAAACCTCCATCAGGTTAAAATCTGTAGATTCTCAAACTGGTCAGATGCCAAGAAAACCTCATTAGGTCTCATTCACCACCATTTTGATCTTTAACAGCCAAAGTCTGTTGATAAAATGGCATATTACCACAGCTGTTCTGACAGAGACATGTCTCTGCAGCAAGGCAAGAAAGAAAGAAATGAAGTTAAGGAGAATGAGAGCAATGCATAACTTCTTAGTATTTCCACTTCAACATGTTCTTCCACAAGAGTGTCCCTCCCTACCACTAGAAGGTTGTCCCAAGCACCACCAATGCGACCTGGATGGGAATAAATGTCCTAGAAGGAGGAGAAGGGTG